TACATATTTTTCTCCTGGTAAAGTGAAATTCTGGAGTCCTAGTGTTGAATGTGATGTTTTAATTTATATTGGACAGATGTAGAGGAACTATAAAATGAAACATTTTTCATCCAAAGTAATCTTGTTGCACCACTCTTATTTTAAAACCATATTGCTAATGATATTTGTGATTCTATCCTGTCAGTGGACTACTGTTCCTGGGATTATAATATGTATCATTTGTTCCTTAATAAGTACGTAAAATGCAGGAGTCATTACTAAATGCAGTATCTGTTGCTATCATCATAAGACACATTAAAGCTCTACTGTAAAGCTCATGATACTCAATGCACTAAAGGAGAAGAGTCTCTAATATTCTTAACATTTTTAAAGACATAATTATGAAATTAGGCAGTATATATCTGACTTGGCACTGAAATGTCAAGGGCAAAACTTATCAGCTATGTTGGCAAGTTTACTTCTGCTTTAGATGATATTTAAAAGACAGTTGTATGAGTTTTAATTAAGTATGATATTAAAAAGTATTTAAATCTCCTATTCTGCAATTGAAGGAAAAGAGATCATTCGGATCACAAAATGGTGTATTTCTCAAAGGAATTATGGTGGGCTATGTACCTATCTGCAAGCCAACTGGAATTACTAGTTCTAGGATGTCAAAAGATTGATACACCTGACTAATTAGGAAGTCAGTTGGGACTGGTCACAGCAGACTGCAGCAGCTTGTGAAAGCCAGTTTGAAGGTCCCATAGGAGGTGTTAGTATTGAACAATATTGCGACCCTCATACTATCAGTGTAGCAACGTTGTATGTAGTTCTCTCAGGGAAATTTAAAAGATTTCTTAAATACTGCACGGTACAGTTTCGTTTCTTAAACTTTCCATTATGTAAACTTGGACATTATTATAGACAGTGTGAGTATTAGTAGCAAACTGTGTACCTTCATAGAAAGTGTCACAGTCAACTGTTGGCGTAGGCATCAAAAACCAGAACTTGGAGCCTAGCTGAAGGTACAGAAGTTTGAAAAACAGGCTTTCTGCATGTTTTGCGTGCATAGATTATTAACTACGAATGTTTTTATTTGCAGTGGTTAACTTTTTTTAGTACATCCATGCACACAGGAAAACTACTAGAGGATTTTTTGAATTCAAGTTCCTATATACTCCATATATTCTGTTAACTGTATTGCATGTCAATGGAAGCACTAATCTATAATCCAGTTTGCGACTGCAGTATATTTCAGATAAGTATGAAAAACAGACAGTACCCATAAATGTGTTACAGCTATGCTACAAAAAGTTGTGGTTTCGCAATATTTCTATTCCATTATTTAAAATATTTTTTAATTTTTTTGGTGGGTCTTTTTGCAGTAGAGCAGATTATGCACCAGGATTTTTTTCTACTGAAAACTTGTTAAGTTTTTATAATAACTATGAAATCCATAGTAGTCTTGGATAGGCTTAAAAGGAAAGAGATGACATGCTGAAATAGGATTGAAATTTATCTTTGGTTATTCCTACTTCCTAAGACAAAGCTTATGAACTCCTTTCCATAAACATTTATCATATCATTTTGGGAACTGTGATATTATTCAATCTTTTTTGCATTACTATTACCCAAAATGCTTTTAAACCTTCCTCCAGCATTCATGTACCTTAATGTAACTCATGGCTTGGCCTCAGAATTTCTTCAAGCATCACTTTGGTCTGAAACTATTCACTTGAGTGTTTTCATGCCAGACGTGAGTATTTTAGAAAATTGCATGATATCAGATGGAGAAAGGAAAGTATAAATAAATAAATAAATAATTCCCCCCCAAACCCACCACCATAAACAAACAAAAAAATAAACCAGGAAGCTGAACAGATAATCTGAGTAATTTTTTGTAAGGTGCGTTCCATGCCATATTAATACCTGTGATAGTCCATTAGTCGTAAGAGAGCAAACCTCAGTGTAATAAAGCACATTATACCAAACACAAAGCAAGAGAAAAATCTGTATTTCAGTCTTCATGTTTATTCTATATCTGCCATATATTGTACAGAAATGTACTTAAATGTTATGAAAACCTATAAAATATTTTCTAATTTTCCATTATGTGTACAGCTCTTTTGTGAAAGTTTGTTAACTAGTTTGGTAATACAGAGTGTAGAGAAAAGAGAAGACCTAAGGGTTTCTGTTAACTGGATGGAAAACTGGCTGGATGGCCAGGCCCAGAGAGTGGTAGTGAATGGAGTTATTTTCAGTTGGCAGATGGTCATGAGTGGTGTTCCCCAGGGCTCAGTTTTGGGTCCCGTCTTGTTTAACATCTTTATCAATGATCTGGATGAGGGGATTGAGTGCTCCCTTAGTAAGTTCGCAGATGACGCGAAGCTGGGCAGGAGTGTCGATCTGCTGGAGTGTAGGAAGGGTCTGCAGAGGGATCTGAACAGGCTGGATCCATGGGCTGAGGCCAACAAGGTTGAGGTTTAACAAGACCAAGTACCGGGTTCTGCACTTGGGTCACAACAACCCCATGCAACGCTACAGGCTTGGGGAGGAGTGGCTGGAAAGCTGCCTGGGGGAGGAGGACCTGTGGAGTGTTTTGGTCAGCCAGCTGAACATGAGCCAGCAGTGTGCTCAGGTGGCCAAGAAGGCCAATGGCATCCTGGCTTGTACCATGAGTAGTGTGGCCAGCAGGAGTAGGGAAGTGATTGGGTAGGTGATCGTCCCCCTGTACTCGGCACTGGTGGGGCTGCACCTCGAGTACCGTGTTCAGTTTTGGGCCCCTCACTACAAGAAAGACATTGAGGTGCTGGAGCGTGTCCAGAGAAGGGCAACCAGGCTGGTGAGGGGTCTGGAGCACAAGTCTTATGAGGAGCAGCTGAGGGAAGTGGGGCTGTTTGGTCTGGAGAAGAGGAGGCTGAGGGGAGACCTTCTTGCTCTCTACAACTACCTGAAAGGAGGTTGTAGTGAGGCAGATGTTGGTCTCTTCTCCCAAGTAACTGGCAATGGGAGAAGAGCCAATGGCCTCAAGATGCATCAGGGGAGGTTTAGATTGGACATTAGGAAAAATTTTTTTACTGAAAGAGTTGTAAAGCATGGGAACAGGCTGCCCAGGGAAGTGGTTGAGTCACCAACCCTGGAGGTATTTAAAAGATGTGCAGGCATGGCGCACTGGGACATGGTTTAGTGATGGGCTTGGCAGTACTGGATTAGCAGTTTGACTGGATAGTCTTAAGGGTCCTTTCCAGCCTAAATGATTCTATAATTCTTCCTTTTCCACATTCTGATGAAGGTCAATTAAAATAAGTTTTGTTTTTCATTATTAAAGGTTAAAAAACTGTTAATGACTGTGCCTTTAGTTGAGCATACTACACTTTCTAAACACAAGTATACATGCAGAATTAGCAGAAATTAAACAATGGGTAAAAATGCAAGCAAAAGGAACAGGAAGAAGAACTAAATACAAGTTGTAATACGATTGCATAAAATCAGGTTTTAAAATAAAATATTTGGGTCCTTCTGTATATAATAAAGTAGTTGCTGGTATAATAGAGAGAATGAGAAAACTGTTTATGAAAATCTAAATTGAATTTGAGTTAGGGAATGTCTGTTGTGAGCTTTACATGTGTTTATATGTGTATTTCTGTAGAATTTTTGAATATGTAAACTCTTATTAATATATGAGGAGATTACCACTGTGTGACTTTAAGTCACATTTGAGGGACATTTTTCTTTAATATGTGGACAGCAGAAGTCTAATTTTGAGACATTGAATTATTTTAGTTTTTTTTTAAATATGAATTTGCATATCTTGGTTCCGAATATCTTGTGTGTCTTTTTGGTGTGTTTCCCTCTTCCACTTTTAAATGATATCTGGGTTTATGGTTCTCAGAGGGTAAATTAGATTCAACTCTTGACTTAGCAGTAGAATAATGAAAGTAAAAATGTCGTTTCTGAAACGTCATATTCATGATTTGGCCCATGATGATTTAACACTACTTTGCCAGACCTTCCTCTCTGCAACTTTGAGCTTTTTTTCTCTGAATTATTTTTGTCGCCGTTGAAACAACTTACTTTAGAAAGATGCTAGAATTCTTTAAAGCTTATTGAAAGGTGGAATTTCTTTAAAGGAGAGAAATAAATACAAATAGTGTCGGAAAGCAATGTTTCCCATAAAAATTTTCCTTCGTATTCAGGTCTAGAGGGTTGCCTTCCTTCTTACTTGTAGTCCAGCACTTTGAGAATTCCTTAAATCAGTGGCATGGCATTATGTAATTCTTTTTTCCTCTGTGGTGATTTTTCATCGTATTGTAAATCCCTGGAGTTGTGTTCCTTGTCCTCCCAGGCATAGACACAAGAGGTTAACAAGGTTCAAAAATCTAACATTTTCTGATGTTTTTATTTGACAAAATAAAAGTAGGGTGTTTAATGCTTGCATTTAATTACAATCTCACAGCAATGTAATTCTTTCAAGGGATATTATACATATATGTGTAATAGGATGGGTAGAGTTTTCCTGAACTAAATGAATTATTTAATACTGGCCAGAGGTTGTTAAATACAAAGTGAAAATGACTTTTTATTAAAGTTACATATGTATATCACTCTGTATCCTATCCAGTCCTATATTGTTCATTCCGCTTTCTGCTGAGAAACAATTTCAACTTTTTGTGACAATAACTGAAATAATCTCTTTTTTAATGCAATAAATCATTTAAGGGACAGCTCTAGAAAGCTGATATGAAACTGATTATTTGCAAGTGCAAAATTGTACTGAAATGAAGAGAAAGAGTGATTTTAATGGAATAAAATTTGGCATAGTTCAATGTATAGAAGACCAAATCTGTTGTGATTAATTGCAAGAGAGCAATTTTTGAATGTTTAAACCCTGGTCTAAGTTTGAAATAAATCGTTGTAATAGTGCTATTAATATCTTTTATTGTTGTTGTTTCTTGTGAGTATTATTTATGCTTTGATATTGCTATGGTAACGTAGAGGATTCCTTCTCTCCTTTATAGAAGGTGAGGAGACTGGAGTGATGGATAACCTGTTGGAGGCCTTGCAGTCAGGTGCAGCTTTTCGAGACCGGAGGAAACGGATACCAAGGTCTAAAGGTGAATATTCTATTTTACATTTTGTTTTCCAGACAAAGTTAAAAGCAGTATGTGTCCAGTGCTCTACAACTTAAAAGCTATTGGGTTATTTCTTGCTTGCAATGATGACATTCAGGGATGTTCCTGCTGTTTTGTTGATGTCAGTAGCACTTTGGAGAGTAATTTACTGAATTTAGGATAGCCTGATTATTATGACAAGACTGTTAGCCTCCTGTACTTTAACTTTTTAGGGTTTATAGTTGAATGGGAGAAGGGAATGTCATCTTGCCCCGTAAGTGGGTCAAATTATTTCACTGGTCTATAACTGTCACTATACTCCTAGAAATATCTAACTTCTAAATCATTCTGTTTAGTAATGTTGTTGCAATACTCCAGTAGCTTTCAAAGATATGTTTTATTTCCATTGTTTCCTTGCTTTTCCAGACATACCACAAAATGTCAGTCCAACTACACAGAGGCCTGTGCTGAAAGCTTGTAACCATGGTAATGAACCATATTCATGAATTGCATGCTCTCCTTACCTTACGTAGTTGATCTGTGCTTTCAAAAGACTGCTGTGATTTTTTCAGTTTTCTACATTAGTGGAATACCTAAACCATATCAGAACCTGCTTTTTAACAATCAACTGAATATTGCATCCTGAAACTATACTTTTTAATTACTTTGCAAAGCTCTTCTCTCTTTTGTGTTTTGTTTTTTTTTTGAATTTAAAATTTGGATATGTTTTTAAATGTAGTACTTTTATAATCCTAAGGAACAATTATTCAAGGTTTTTTTAATGGATTGTGGAACTATAATAGAAAGCAGAGATTGCAGAACATTTTTAAATGTCGCTAAGTGTTTATCATACCGAATCAGACACCTTTTTGCATTCATTCTGTTTTTTGTTGTCTTTGTTTTATTGATACTATAGCTGGAACGGTTTAAGCTATCATTTACCTGTATAATTCAAAAGAGATGTTGTATTGGCAGAGTAACAGTAAATTAATCATTTAGTTCATGGCAAAATATTTCTCCAAATTTTGAACATGAATCTCATATTTATGTTTATTTATAAACTCCTTAACTATCTCACTGACTTGCTGATATGTAAAAAGTTGCAGTGAGAATGTGTGTGCTTTTTAGCTGTGTTTGTTAGACAATCTACGGAATACGATTATATTAGCTGTGTTTTAATTAAGCTTGAGGAGTCCAGAGTGACTGTTTGCAGTGGCTCATAACTAGTGGTCTCAGGAAAAGTTTATATATGTAGTACCTCCATTAAAGAAAAATTTTCATTGAAACTTCAAGAAAAAAAAAATCTTTCTTGGTTTTGTAAGCAGAATGCATTATGCTTTGATATTTAAATGTACTGCAGAGTTTATAAAGCAGATGCCATCAAATTGATGATATTAATTATACCTCATGTTTAAGTGTTTATTGTTAAGTGTCTAGCAAAAAAAAGAACATAGAGAATTTGGCATTATTAAACACAATATTAAAGAAAGAACTGGAAGGACAGTTGAAAGATAATTAATTCACTTAAAGGAATTGGCTCAAAGAAGAATCAAGTATATTTGACAGGTGCTTGTCTAGCACCTAACATATTGATATTTGAATAATGACTACAGAGTACATCTGAACTTATCCTATAAGTGTTTCTGCTTGTAAGAACATTATCTTGAATGTTGCTTGTTTTCAGCCCATTCTATTTATCTACCTAGCTGTCTGTGGACAGATGATGTAGTTTCCAGTTTTCAAACTGCATTTGGACAAACATTAGGGCCATGTTTTATGTTTCAGGTTAAAAACAGAACACCACAAACAAACCAAAAATACCGCCAAGATTTTAATTCTGCAAAATCTTAGTCTAACCTGGGGACTGATTTGTACATCAGATGGATGTAATTTGAGGTTCAGACATTTCATTCGGAGAGAAGAGTAATCTCTTGGATTTTAAAATGAATTCAGCTTTTTTTTTTTCACCTGTCTTGTTAGCTCAGGAACAGGAGAATAGAACTCTAAGCTTGCTTTCAAGGAATTCATTAGTACGTTTTTGATTTGTTGACACTTGTCACAATATCTATGTGCTACAGCTTCATATTTTGAACAAAACAGAGCACTGAACTTGGTGTAGATTATGATGAGTTCACTTGTCAAATCCTTTTTGGCTTTTTGATAGATATGTATGGTTGTTGGTTGCTCTGAGTTCATCTCTGAGGTGAACTTTTTTTTTTTTTTGCAATTCAAACTCTATGTGCGTCAGTTGAGAATTTGCTTTTAATAATTTGTTTTGTTATTGGGAAACCAGAAATTATGTAGGTTGCATAGTATCTAGAATGAATACTAGACCCTGCATATTGAAGTTTATTTTTAGATAATAATAAACTCACTGAAGTTAATAATCTGGCCTATCAAAGCAAGAATTCTAATGATAAAGTTTCTTTTATTTTCTGTTTCTTAGTTCAACATTGTATGATGTCAGGCTTTTTTCAGTATTATTCTCTCTATAATTTTTTCTTGCACTTTATATCTAATTGAGATACATATGGAATAACCTATTCTTTCTATGTATATGTGTATAATAACTGATGAATACTGTATATAGTGGTTTATTACATATATATGCACTGTATAAGCAAGAAGTCTGGGATTTCCACCCACTTAAGAAAAAACGGGATGTGTTATTAGACAGAAGTGTTGGCTTGGTCTTTCATTGATTTGCTGTTTCTCCCAACTTAAAATTTCAAACGGTTGCTAAATCTTGCATCATGGCAAAAAATCACTGGTTTACTCTAAGCTTAAAATATGTGGAGACCAAAGTCCTCATGTAGCAATTCAAGTACTTCCCTTGTTTACTTCTCTACTGGTTTTGGCTGTTTGGGTTGACTGATAACTGGTTTGGTTACTGCTTCTTCTGATGAGACTAACAGATTCACTTACAGTAGATATACTTTATTAATGCACACAGCAGATTCATACCTAGGATAAACTTCTTTGACTCATCACACAGTCAAAAAGAATTACAAGCCAAGACTTGAAATGTCTGTTCTCTGTATCATTCAGAGTGTAGCAATGTCTGTCGGGCAGACACCATGAAGTTCTAGCTAATCTCTTCTGTTTCAAAACAAAACCAAACAAATGAATTAAAAATGTTTTCGTCTTTAAGATTGAAGATATTTCCCTAAAAAAGTGGAATAGAAATCAGACTCCAGCATAGATGGGAACTAGAAGGTAGTGGCTCCATTTCTCTCAGGTGTAGAGGGAGAGAAATACGGTCAGAATACACACTTTCTCCATAGTTAAAATATAAATGGAAATGTGCTTCACCATTGCCATTGTCATCCTCGGTAGGATACTGCTCAAGGTACCAAACTATCAATTGCTCCTGAGGCTGAGCCAAGCCCTATAAAATGAAGTAGTACAGAGAAGCAAGCCAATGCTATTTACCTCTAGAACTGAAAAATGTTTCCTTTAACCAAATGGACTGCTTAACTGAAAAAAAAAGGAGGAATGCTAGCCATTGGTTGGCCATTTTTCTCTTCATGATCTGTTGGGCTCCGCAGAAAGCTCTGGTAGTGTTCAGCTGCTATATCTGATTAAAAAGGAGTACTGGTTCTCATGCTGCATCCCAGGGTAGCCTCTTGGGTGTTACTTTATTTTCACTCTTACTGCACTCTTCTTTTATTGAACAGATTGCCTCTTTCTAACATGGTATGTGGTTTTTGTCAAGTTTAAATCTACTCTATTTCTGTGATCAGAATTACCAATCGTATTTTTTCTGCTTGTGACAAGGCCCATCAAGTCAGATAATTTCTTGATGAGGAAAAGCCCTGCTGCGTAACTAGTAAAAATAATATACATTTGGAATTGCTAGATCTTGAAAATGTTCTAACACCTGAAGAATACAAATCATTTTTACTAGATTTTTGTTGGTGTAGATATGATTAGTGTATTTATTTCCTTTGTTACCATTCATGGTGCTTTGTATTTTTAAATTAACAACTGAATTGCGTACATGTTCAAAACGACCTGTTAATGCAAAGTGCTATAAACTGCAGCAAACAGTGTGGTATATGCCTTTGCTGTAATTCCCATTCAGAGCACTGTATGACAGAAGTAGAGTATTAGTATATTAGTGTTGCACTTTACTAAGGTTTTGATTCAGTAGCATCTAACAGGGGAGCTTTTTTATTTTATTTAGAGAACAGAAGAAAGCATTTAATTTTCAATGACTGGGATTTTGCGCATTAGAAGATCATTTCAAGCAGCTAATAGCTATGGCTGATCTGAGTTTATCAGTTATTTACAACAACAGTCAAGGTATATTTGCAGTTTGCACATTTATTTCAAGCTAGTTAAGTTCAAATACACATAGCAACATATCCAAGGCAGCAAAGAGCCCACTGCAGCACAGAAAGCTGCATTATTCACTAAGTTTTCAGTCAGGCTTTCCAGTCTGCATCAAGTTTTCTGCTTCTATGGCTACGCATTTATTTGCAGTGACATTACCCAAGGTAGTGTTATCTGAAATGCATGAATACAAATTCAAGGTGCAGCTTTGGCTGCATGTGTATATACCTCAAATGCAGCAGACAGTGTTTTTCTTTACAAGTAGAATGCATTCAAAATGCTGTCAATAGAGAATAGCTATAATGAAATGGAAGTGAAAAAATACAGATTGCTTTTTGTGACTGCAAAGGTTGAAATAAATCTTTCTGTTGCGATCAGTAATTGGGTTGTGGACTATACTTCAGAAGGTAACAATAAGGTCTTGTTTCTATATTCAAATCAAGCTTCCATGGTAAGAGATAGTCTTTATTACTATAGCTGTTTGTTCAGTAAATCTATAAACAGTAGAATAATTTTCATGTCACATTTAGTCTGAAGCATTTTAAACACCCCTGTTAAATAAAATCCTTGTCGAGCAATGTCATTCTGGTCCCAATTAAGCAAAAGGAAATCCTTTTTTTGTGCTCTTTGTATTTTTTTTCATCTCTTATTGGTAATAGAACTGTCATCTGAAGTTCATATTAGTTCCTCTGCTACCTTATTTTTGACAATGAGCTCAGGCTCATCTTAATTTTTGAAACCGACAGTACAGGTCAGTATTTTATTTCATCATTGCTATATGTGACAAAAACCTATGACTGACATTTCAACCTAATTTTTTCCTCATTTTTTTCTGAAGTTTGTGTATGTTGCTGTCTTTTCCACAACTGTATGTGTTGACCATTAGCAAATACCTAACAGTGGAGAAACAATGAAACGTGAAGATAACTTTTTACCCAGTACCTGTTAGTAATAAAGGTGCAGTCTTGAGTGCTACCACTTCTTCATGGTAGATACTGTTCTGAAGGCACTTTGTGTGTTACCTTATTTCTCTTCCTGTATGTGACCTAAAAACATCAGTGTTTGTATCTCTGGTGGAGAAAATTTTTGTAAGACTTCCTGAAGTTTTAGTCAATAGACAAGTTTCCTTGGCAGAAGACCTGGAATATCTG